AGAATAACTTACTATATAAAAACTATTTATTACACTTATTAAACAGAACTTAAATAGTTAGTTATTAATATAGCACTTTTAAATAATAATTAGATTGGTTATTTATAACCTTATTAGCTATATAATTATATTACTTATAAAACTTTAACTTATCTCTCTGCTAATATAAACCTAATGTTAAATTTATAAATTAAAAACCTACCTTATACTTAAGTATAATAATATAGGTTAAGATATTATATATTAATAACTTTTATTTAAAAGATCTTTTAAAATCTTATAAGTAATTAAACTACTATAATTAAAAATAATACTGCAGCTTTTTAAATTGCTCTAGCACTTGCTGCAACCTTTAAACCTATTAGATTTATTAATATAGATAGCAACCTTGCTATAAGCTATAAGCCTAACTAGAATAATTTAAAGGGAGATGCTTTAAAGGAATATCTTTAGAATATATTTTAAGTTAATAAGTAATTAATTAATACTTTAAATAATAAGAAAAAAAAAATTAAAAAGAATATAGAAATCTTTATTAAGCAATAACTACCTTCTATATTTAATAGAAAAATTAATAAACTTAAACCTTTTTAAACTTAACTTAAGGCTTACTTTATAGACTTTAAAAATATAATTAATACTAAGGATAAAAAAGTTTCTTTTATAATATTGCGCCTTAAGGAAACTGCATTTAAGTGGTTTTAACCTATATAGGATAAATATTTTAAGGATTTAACTAATCCTTTGCCTGCTGTTAAAAAAGTATTTAATAACTTTAAAGAATTTAAAAAAGAATTTATAAAAGCATTTAAAGATATTAAAGAAGTTTAAATAGCTAAAAATAAACTTGCAGAAGTATTTTAAAAAAGAAAATGCTTTAATTATACTGTAAAATTTAAAGACTTTGCCTTTTAAGTTAAATAGGGATAAGTTATATTTATTAAATAATTTTATAATAAACTTAAGAAAAGCATTAAAGAAAAAGTTTATAATATTAATTAAACTTAACATAACCTTTTATTTTTTATTAAAAAATGCATTAAAGTTAATAATCTTTTATATAAATTTAATATAAGTACTTGTAATAACTAAAGAAATAGAGGTAGGAATAATAAATAAATTACTAAAGATAATAGTAATACTCTAGGACCTATAGATATTAGTATAATTTAAAAAAATAATAAAAAGAAAGACTTTAAATATTATAATTATAGGAAGCTAAACTATATAGTAAGAAACTGCAGATTATTTAAAAAGTCTATTATTTTATTACTAAAAGATAATTATACTATAGAAAAAGACAGCAAGACTATTTTAATAATAGAAAGAGACTTTATAGCTAAAGAAAAAAATAAATACCTTTATTATTAATTAAAAGCTAAATTATTAAATAATTTTAATATACTAGCTAAAGAATTTAAAATATTTAACTAATAAATAATCCCTTAGGAAGACTTTTAATTAATTAAAAACATAAATAAAGTAAATATTAAAATAAATAAAGATTTTAAATAGTAAAACTATAGATATAACTATAAGTATAATAATAATATTTAAAGATAATATAATAACTTAACCTTAGAAGTTAATTAATTATTTAAATTTTAAAACTGTATTATTAAAGCCTAAAAACCTTTTAAAAATAATACTTCTTTATTTTTATATAGATGGTTATTTAAACTTTAACAGCAAGAAGTAAAAGAATAACTTATCCTTTAAGCTATTATACTAAACTAAGCCCTATAATAAAACTTTAGTTATAAAAGAAGATTTAAGGATATTAATTATATTAATTTAAACTATTTAAAATACTATTATATTAGCTAGGTTAACTATATTATATACTAATATATAGAATATTTTAATAATAAAAGGAAATATAATACTTTTTTTATTAGAATTTTATTTCTTTCTATTATTTATATATACTCTTATATATGCTTTTTATTATAGAACGTTAAGTAAAGGTTTAGATCCTTTAAAGTAGTTATCTTAGGAGAAGGAGAATGTATAAAATTAAATAAATTTATAGAAGTCTATAAAAAAGCCTTCTATAAATATTATAAAGCTTAAAAACTTTTTATATAGTATAAAAGAAAAAATGCTTAAAAAGAATATAATAAAATTAATTTTTTTAACTGTAAAAATCTAAAATATGCATAATATATAGAAATTAAGATTTTAAATTAATATAATTTAAAAAATATAGATAGTCTTCTATAAAAAGGCAATAGAAAGACTTAAAATATATTATATCTTTTAAACTAAATAATAAATATAATAGTAAAAAAAAAAAAAAAAGAATATTTAAAAAAATATTATATAATATATTTTTAAATAAGGAGCTTTTTATAGTTTTAATAAATAGTAGGTTATAATATAACTATATATCTGCTATAACTATAATATACCTGCAGTTGCTAGTGTATAAGAAAAAGAGAAAGTATTAATTATAATATACAGAGGAAGCATACTTTTTTTATAATAATAGATAGATTAAATAATAGACTAATTACCTATTAATAAATATTAAAAATTATATTATTAAAACTATATATAATATAGCTAATATCCTATAATATAACTTTATTTTAAAGATACTTTAGTTAAGTAAATATAATTTTAATATAGACTGAGGAACTGGCTAAATTTATTAATAAAATAATAAAACTCTAGAAGAAAGGAAATTAAGTAGTTAAAAGCTTATGTGACGTCCTGGCCTATACTATCATACTTAGGTATAGGGTAGGTTCCCAATCTATAAACTCAACGTCGGGTTTATGTTAGCAGAGAGATAAGTTAAAGTCTTATAAGCAATGCAGTTACATAGCTAACGAAGTTATAAATAATCAATCTAATTATTATCTAAGAGTGCTATATTAACAACTAACTATCTAAGTTCTATTTAATAAGCATAATAAACAGTTCTTATATAGTAAGTCATTCCAGATAGCTCATAGTTAAATCACTCTTGCATAGGCTTACAATGGCTCACTTAGTAATCCAACAGGGATGTCTGTAAACCATAATCCTTTTGTAATTGATCCATCGGTCCGTAGTTACTCCTAGAGTATATACTCTTGCTTAGCTAATATATAAACAAATGTTCAGGTTGTAATACAATGCCCCCTCTTCATTAGTCTTGTCCTCAAGGCCTATAAAAAGGCCCTTCCTGCATTAGCTTGCTAAAGTAATTTTTCTTTTAGACTCCTTTTATAATTTTTATAATGCCTAACTGTATGTCTAAACCAATATCCTAGAAAACACACAAGCGCCTTTCTTTAGCCACTATTATTAAGGAATTGAAATTTCTTATAATAGCTTATTCTTTCTATAAACATTATAGCATAGGCAACCGTTATAAAATAATGAATGGTGTAATGCATTGCAAGGAGTGTATGCATTACAGTTGTTCTTATAATAGGACAGGTATTCTATTGTCAGCTTATAAGTTTATTTTCTAAAATAACAGTCTAATATACAACCCGAATACTAGGTTTAACAATTTCCTTCCTCATTCAGATAACTGAGCTGACGCCGCTTTAGCATAAGCAACCCTGAGCAAAACCTGAGTAGCCCCTGAGTTGGCCAAGTTCTTGTACCGGAAGTGGGGGCTTCAGTTTCCTACACCCCACCACCTTTACACCTAACTGATATAAAATAGTTTCACACCCTTCAGATTCAAGAAGCCTTTGCTTATGAGATGCTGACAAATAGATAAAATAATAGCGCTGCTATAAGCTCATTTTGCCCCACATTCAGGAGTAGTAGGGATTCTACCAAATGGTGAATTATTCAGGATCAGTCACTATTTCATTTGCCTTCTAGATATAATCCAGTGTTTCAGTTTACTTATTTTAGGTTAGTGTTTACGTTTTTTGTTGGTTTTATTATTGCGCTCGACAATGCAAGCTTAGTAGAAAGAAGAAAAAGCTTTGTTCTACTTGCTGTATTTGGAAATTCCTTATTAGGATACTTAAGGAAAGGCTAGTATTCCGAATTACTGTTTGGTATAATAATTATGTATAATTGAGGTGCGATTTTAGCTTTGATATAATCTGTTGTATTAATTTACTCTAGAATAGTTGTGCTGTTTCCTCATTTGACATGTATCAATCTAATATTAGGTTTGATTTCAAGAATGCCAAGTTGCAAACTTGGGTCTCCTCTCTATTGGGACTTACAACGCCAATGTTATCCCCTTTCTGAACTAAGTATCTCCGTATGGATTTGTAACCATAATCTCTCCTAAATGACTTTGGAGGTTGCATCTAATCTGTGATGGGCTGGCTAGATAGTAAAGGGGTCAACTCAATGGCTATGCGTTGTCTTAGCTGGTTTGGGCTTGGTGGGTTCGCATGAAATATCATCTCGGCTACTAGATTTGGTAATTCCCTATTTAGGAAAGCATGCGTGAAATAAATATTAGCAATTGAGTCAAAAGAGAAGGAAAGAACATCATCTCATTTACTCGATTCAGTAATTCCCTTTTGAGGAAGCCGGATCCAGTGTAAGTGAAATAAATGTATTAGCAATTGAGTCAACAGAGAAGGAAAGGATGTCACCTGAACTACTCGATTCGGTAATTCCTTTTTGAGGAAGCCGAATCGAGTGTGAGTGAAATAAATGTATTAACAATTGAGTAGCAATTGACTCAAAGGAGGAAGAACATCATCTCAACTACTCGATTCAGTTATTCCTTTTTGAGGAAGCCGGACCCAGTGTGGATGAAATAAGTGTATTAGCACTCAATCAGGAAACGAAGATATAGACTGAAATTACCTAAGAGGAATTAATGATTAACTCTAGAGTAGTTAAAACCCCAAGTATTTAAGGTATAAAAGGGAACTTCTGCCTCCAAATAGTGAATATCTTTATTCTGTTCATCTTCACTGCTCCTCTGCACTCTTTTAAGCAAGTGGCATCTATCTGGCTTTATTACTTTTTATAATTCTGATACTCCTATAATTGGTTAACTTTTAAATCTACAACAATCAACAATGGCTCCTAGGTTTATTGCTTATGATCCTTCAAAAATTAAGAAAGACAAGCGCTCAAGAGAACCAAAGCTCTCAGAATCAGTTTTCAACCCCAACACCCAAGAATCCCTCTGCCAAATGCCATCACCAGCACAATCCTACGATACTCCAGATGTCCAACTGAGTTCGCTGGCTCCCATGGCTCCCAGAGCGACAGTTGATAATCAATCCATACCGTCAAAGGGGGCCACTATAGCTGGAGACTCTAAAGCTGTGGATAAAACTACAGATATAGAGCCAGATATTGCATCTCAGTCCGTCTGCAAATCTAGCGTTTTATACGAGCAAACTGCGGTAAACTATACCAGAACCAATCGGAACAGTGGTGAGTTATTAAAAATGATTGCCTCAAAAGAGGATCCAGCATTGCTAACATGAACCAGATAAAGCAATGTATACCCCTTTGTACAGTCACCCGAATGAGACAATAGATCAGCCAGAAACTTCAATCGCCGGGACCGAAAAGGGCGAAGTTATTACTTATGTAAAATCTTTGGAATTTACGCCAACCAATGGTTTTCATTCGTCATCTGCCACTTCTTCTTCTTCGCTCAATGACATCGAATCTCCAATCCCAGATATCAGCAGCTTAAGTAAAGAGGTTCCGGAAACTTTAAGCGGCAGTAAACCACAAGAAAATACCTCTCAAAGTCGTATATTGCAAGAACAATATACTGAACAAGAGACTTACGATGCAAGAAATAAATCGACCGAGAATATTGCTAGCAATACAAATCACGCACTTAATCAGCTGGGTGGCAGTGGCAACAGTGGAAAACATCACTGTGAGCATAATAATGAATCTAGGCTCGAGAGCCCACAGACTACTAAAGAAGACGATATGGCAACTCGAGAGGCTGACAGGCCACCCGACACTGACGATTGTTATCCATTATCTGGGCAAAAAGAAGCCTCCACGGCTGAATATGTCAATAATGAACCAACGCAGGATGGCCATGCAGTCCAGCGAGGCCTAAAGCGGAATCTTATAGGTAACGATGAGTTGATCGCACATAGCGATATGGACACAAGAAAAAATCCAAACCCGAAAAGGGTTAGGTTATGTCAGACACAAATACTTAATTCCAAAGACGACGGATCAGCAATCTCAGAATCTGCAGACGTTAGACCACTACGAATACAGAACGGTACATTAGAGTGCATAACTGAAATCGGGCAACATTTAGCATTTTCCCTGAAAAGTTCTACAATAAATGCTACAATGATAAACGGGCATATACGCTATAGCTTGGAATTTTCGGATAATCTAGGCGCAATTGACAGTGGTACAGTGGCAAACCCGCCTAAGCGCCGTCGCCTGCCTTTTACGCAGGAAGAAAACAACTGTATAGTTGGGCTCAGAAGAGATGATAAACTCTCATGGACACAAATTTGTGACAAATATAATGAGACATTTCCAATGCGGACAAGGAAAAAGACAGTTATTAAAACGCATTATGGAAATCTCTTGTCTAAAACGTCCACAACTAGAAGGAACCCTACTAGAAGAAATTTCAAGCGGAAATCGATCATGTACAAGGAAGACGAATCCGAAGATCTCGAGGAACTAGAAGATACCGATTCAGAAAGTTTCACGGTAAATAACATACTTGGTAAGTCGCCTGGCGAATATCTTGGTAGAGAGGCAGGAGAGTATTTCTTCATAGAGTGGTATGATCTCTCAACTGGGTGGGAGCCAAGGAAGAATGTTAATAAGGAGATGATTAAGGAATTTGAAAAAGATTACAAAGGATTTTACCAAAGAGCTAGTATCCTGGATTCACGAGGCGAGGCTGGTTATATGGAGTACCTCTTACGCTGGGATGGCTGCAAAGCAAAGGATAATTGGTTTCCTGAGAGGCATCTAAGCCCTATGCTTATAAGGCAGTATGAAGAATGCGAGTCAAAATAACTAGTATAGTTCTTAATTTCTGTAAATACAATTACAATCACTAACTGGAATTGTAATTGCTAACAAATACACTTCCTGTTGACTTTATACATACACGGAATTCAGCTATTGGAATATACAGTTAATTTTATAAAATTTAAAGTTCATTCTAATACTTATCCCTAACCAATTTCTATGAAATTGCATATATAGGGTTTCGTCATTCGCGACACGTGGCTGACAAAAGAAATTATGAAAATTTTCACCTGCTTTTTCCATTTTCTATAACCCCTTTCCAATTGCCACTGTTCTTGCCACATGGCCCATAGACCTTCCTATCCTACCTCCTAACATAAATCCAGAGCCTAAACTTGTCCCTTGGGAATCCATTTGTTACTTATTATTTAGGGAAAACGGTTCGCCACAAAAAGCCAAAACTGGATCCATGTGTTAACTCCACTTAGGGATATAGTAGAAACCGAAATGAGTGTCCGGTTTCACTCCAGTATAGCGAACGCCTTACATACCACGGACAATTATGTATGTGTTTCATGGCAAGAATTGGAAGCTGGCGAAGTTATAGTGACACGCTCTTGAATAAGGCTTTCGATATTAGCTGCACTCCAGAGATGTATTACATGGAAATACATACACCAGTGCAGCCTAAATACTCTGTTTCTTCAGAAATTTATATAGCTAATTATCACCCATTCTTTAGATCCATCATAGTCTAAGACTACTGCTGCAAATCAACAGTCTTAGTTGACCCTAGCAGCCTGTAGATCCTCAGATTTATATTTCTTCAATCAAGGCTCTTTTAATTCACGTACAATGGAACAAGACGACTTCAATTTTTCTATGTACCAAGCTGCTTCAAATGGCGATCAGGAGGGCGTGAAATTATTGCTAGAAAAAGGGGTTGATATTAATCATGGCGGCCATTTTGGCTCTGCACTCGCGGTAGCTTCATTCAGTGGACATCAAAAAATTGTTCAGCTTTTGCTGGATAATGGGGCTGTTGTTAATGATAGCAAATATGGGTATTGCTTTGCACTTGTATGTGCGTCATTAAAAGGCCATGAAAATATCGTCCGGCTCTTACTAAAAACTGGGGCTGTTATGGATGCTAAGGAACTTGCATTTAATGCTGCTTCAACCAATGGCTATCAGAATATTGCCCAGCTATTGCGGAATAATAAGGGAGACGTTAATTAAGGGATCAAGGGAGGCAACACTGGATTATCTTAGGACCAATAAGCAAAGGTCAACGAGAATTATGTATTGTTCTGCGCATATATAGCTTCCGCTTTGCATTCATGATTCGTATTGGAATAGTTACCAAGTACATTTGGATACAAGCCGCTACTTCTTTAGCGGCTAAGAGCCAAAAAATGGACGATTTTTAAGCAACAATAACCGATAGCTATCAGCAGATCCCGGTCTAGAGAAGGTAGTTTTGAGTAACTGAAAGTACCGTTGGAATGGAAAGACCCACAGCTCCAGTGGGACCGTGCGCGTTATCGTTGGCAGTACTTATTATGTAAACTCCAGTACATTCATACGGTAACGGCAAGGTTCAGCGTCCGCAAATTGTCTGATTATGAGCTAGATATGGCTGATATAACGAGGCCTATACAGTATAAGTACTACCTCAGGAAGGAGTAGCAGCTTAGTTGCCTTGCAATAACTTGTTACATTTCTGGTAAATCTGGCACTGCAATTGACGAGGTTTACCCTATATGAGGTACAGTACATGTAGAATGAAGCCTTGTTATGGCAACATAACACCATAGTAGTAACTACATGACTGACCCTACCTACTCTCATTCCCCTTCCCGTCTTAATACATATGCATGTACAGCACTCCCACAAAAGAAGCTGGCTATTCCTATATTTGTTTTGGTCTATTTCTCACTACATCAAAATGGCTTTAGTCTTACAGGGACCTTCGGGTGGGCTTTCACTAGCACTTTTACCTGACATATACTTATCTACTAAAAGTGGGAACTCATGAGTGTCCTTGTAATTATCACTGTGTTGGCTTAGAATTTGAGACGTTCGGGTGGCAATTCAGCATAATATAAGAAACCCGCCGCCCCCCGGCCCTATTAAGTGGCAGAGTTATTCAAGAATTAAAGTATGATACAGAATGTATTTTTCTTTATTTTGAACATAGACCTAGTAGGCTTATAAACTCAACTGTAAAAATATTACCCTCCCTGACTGAAGACCTAGTGCAAGAATATTCCCATGTATAGCTACGTGTGTAGTCCTATAATCTTTAGGAAGCCAGAGTAAATATTTGCCATCCTTAGTTACCCACTCGTCAGTAACATACACGGCATTGTTTCGGGGCTTATGTCGTGAGTGCACATCTGGGTCGGAGGAAATCCTTATATATCCCCGATTTGTGCTAAGAAACTTGCTGTCTGGCGAGAATGCAACGGCCCGAACCCAGCCGCTATGGCCCTCCAGCGTCTGCTGCGGCGCTCCCGTGGCGGCATCCCATAGCCGTACTGTC